GTAGATTTGTTTCCAAAATGTACTTTTATAGGCTTGGTAGATGTGGAATAGAGATCAAAGGACTTTAAATGTAGTTGGACATGGGTTCAAGCCCATCCCTACTGCTTGGTACTAGCTGTATCTCTGCAGACTAGTTGTTGTACTTCTAGGAAGCTCTGTTTCTCTGTGAGTAAAACAGGGATTATGTACCTTCTTTATCATATGGTTATGAGGATTAATTGAGATAATTAAAAAATATTCAGGGGAGGGTTTAGTACATAGGCAAAAGCACAATAAATACCAGTGCCCCTTGTTCAGGGTTGACAGGTAATTAACACTGAATTTTATGGAATCTGTTTTCTCCTTTTAAAGAGTGAGACTCTGGTACCTACTTTTTAACAATTGGAAAACAAGCCTGTTAGAAGAAAGGCTAAAGGAATTGGAACAGAGTCACCAGAAGAACAGGAAACAGGGAGAGACCTGAGCTTATTAAAGGATAGGGAATTAACAAGTGTGGAGATACCTAGCTGTTGAGATGGACATTGGACTGAAAAGGAGAACAGGGAATCCAGACAAAGACAAGAGACCAGTAACAAATCTCTGCTCGCAAGTCTTTAGCTCACCTCGCATGGAGGGACGCTGGTAACAAGGACTGTTTCACATCTTTGTCTCCTTAGACCTGCATTGCCCGGTGGCCTTGGGAGGTGGTTGGCTCCTGCCCTGCACCTGCCTTCCTCACTCCTTAGGCATTTGCCCCAGTCCAGACTGGGTCTGTGGGTGTAGGCTGTCCATAAAGTTCTCACCCATGTTGACGTGAACCCCGAGGATGAAGAGTGACACTATATTCAGAGGCCACCCCTGTCATATTCCTCGCTTCTTTCCCCACAGAGAAAGAAGGATTCTTTAACGAGCTCTAGGGTGACCATGGAAGTGCCGACACTTAGATACAGGAAAGTTGAGCATGGTCCACCTCACTTTAGTGATGGCAGCAAAGGCCCAGAGAGGGTCTGTGACTTGCCCAAGCTCACAGAGCAGTTATGTGGCAGAGCCAGCGTTGAGGTAGGGCATTTGCCTTCGGATCAGCCTGACCGCCTGCACTTTCACAGTGGTTAGCAGCCGGCCTAAATACTGGTGATAGGCGTACAGAGTGATGACTTCAAGGCCCAGTGAGATTGTTCCTCCCCAACAAAAAGCGCATTCAGGGCAGGATGCCTGTTTGTTCAGCAGAGGAGACTAATGAATTTTAGAAGGATTTTCAACAAGGATTGGAACAAAAAGTATTCAGATAATTAAAACTAAATAGACTGCCTGGGTCCCCGGATGGTCTAATTTAGCAGAGAATTACAGTGTGTCTGACACGCTGACTAGACAGTCAATCAACGTGACTGCTCGAGGTTGTTCACATGCCATCGCAATAAAGGGATTAGAAGTGGATTGACTTGAATGTGGATTAGAACAGCAGGTCAGGGATCAAGTGCTAACATCTAACTACCCATCTGCCCTCCCCCAGATAATAAGTAACATTAAACTTAGCAGTTTTCCCACTGCCTGAGCAGTCTGTTCTGTTTCTGAAGCGTAAGAAATAGCACGTCTAGAATACTGGGATGTATTCCGAGAAGCCCTCCGTGGGCTCTGCTCCGGCCCGGGGCCCGTGGTGAGTGGGTTCCGCTCTACTTCTCCTTGAGTCTGGCTGTTCCCCGAGGGGCGAAGGACCCAAAGGCCAACTGGATATCTGCCTTGCTTCTCAGGCTTTCTTATCTACCCAAATCACCTGGGGGCCTTACTCAAATACTTCAGATGCCATCGGTCTGGGGTGGGACCTGAGTATCTGCATTTCCAGTGAGCTGCCAGGTGATGAGAATGCAATTGGTCCCCCAGCCACACTTTGGGTACCAAGGTTCTAGACCTTGCTTTTGGTACCAGGGACCCTAGGATTCCCTGTCTGAAGAGCTGAAGCCTGTGTCTAAGACCCGAATGGGTCTCTGAGGACAGACTGCTCAGGTGTGCACAGCCACAAGCCCGAGGAGTAGCTGGGAGGCAACCATGTGTATGTTCATGGCAGGGCAGGGAGGATATGGTTGGACCTCCAGGCTGGGATTCTGTACACAGGAGTGTAAGGCCCCATGTGCTGCAGGACAGATGGGGTGGGAGGAAAAGGGGACCTCCATTTGTACTCTTGTTCCAGGTGGGTACCTCGGGAAAGATTTGGTTAAAATGATTTTATTATGATTATAACTATTTTATTATTATAATAATAATTATTATATTCTCTGGACCTCAATGGACAGATTCAGTTTTCCTTTCCTTTTTTTCACATCGCTGTTGCACTCTGAGAGAACACTTTCATTTCCTTTTTGTGCTGCACACTGTGTACTTGAAGTCTGTCAACAGGTTCATTCATTGTGCTTTTGACAGCTTTGAGAATCCTCCCATTTTTCTAGCTGGCTGCTTAGTGCTGGTGCAGAGATGTGCCTTAGCTTCTGCTTTCTGTTTGGTGGAAATCGATAGTCTTGTTAAATCAGTTCTTTGAACGAGAAGCAGCATATCGTTTGACATAACTTAATGTTGTCTAAAAATTCGATGGAATCACCAGTAACTGCCATGAGTTGCATTTTAAGTAATCCGTTTTAGAGGGTCAATGCCTTTAACCTTTTCTTCATTCCTTCTCTTCTTTAAGAGTTTTTTCAAATGGGCAGTTTTAGATTTACAACAAAATTGAGAGGGAAGTAATTAGATTTCCAGTGTATCTCCTGCCCCCATGCATGCACAGCCTCCCCTGTTATCAATATCACTCATCAGACGGGTACATTTTTCACCAGGGGTGGACCTACTACATTGACATCTCATAGTCATCCAAGGTCCACAGTTTACCGTAGGGTTCACTCTTGGTGTCGTATATTCTGTGGGTTTGGACAAATGTATAATGACATGTATCCATCATTATAGTATCATGTAGTATTTTCACTGCCCTTAAAATCCACCTGGCTCTGCCTTTTCATCCCACCCCTTTCATCCCCAGCAACCACTGATCTTTTTATTGTCTCCATAGTTTTGCCTTTTCCATGGTGTCATATAGTTGGAATTATTCAGTCTGTAGGCTTTTCACATTGGCCTCTTTCACTTAACAGTATGCATTTAAGATCCCTCCGTGTCTTTCCATGGCTTGATAGTGCATTTCTTTCGCTTTTTGAGGGGGGTGGTAATTAGGTTTGTTTGTTTATTTTAATGGAGGGACTGGGGATTGAACCCAGGACCTTGTGCACACTAAGCAAGCACTCTGCCCCCCCACCCCGCCAGTGGTGCATTTCTTTTGAGCACTGAATGATACTCCATTGTCCAGATGTACCACAGTTTATTTATCCACTCACCTACTGAAGGACATCTTGGTTGCGCTCCAAGCTCTGGCAATTATGCACAAAGCTGCTCTAACTATCTGTGTGTAGGTTTTTGTGTGGACATAGTTTTCCATCCCTTTGGGTGAATACCGAGGAGTGTGAATGTTGGATTGTATGGTGAGAGTATGTTACTTACTCTTTTCTAAAATTTCTAGAGAAGCTGACTTAGTAGACAGGAGAGAAAGATTAACCGTTGACACAGTAAACATCCTGTAAAGACAGCACTCAGAACACAGTGTTCCAAACAGATCTAGCAACGGAGACCAGGGGCTCTCCACTAAAATTCTAAATACCTTTCTTAGCAGTACCTCCCCCTGCCTATCTCCTTCCCGCCCTTGCTAACCATCTGCCCAGACTTGCAGCCAGCAGCCAACTTCCAAATTGCCAGTTTAGTCCAAGAAGTGCCAGGTATATAGAACAGCTCGACTCACTAAAGCTAAGTTACCCTAACTTCTATCTCTTGATTTGGCTTAGGACGGCCCTGAAGAGCTCTTTTGAAACTAACATTTTGCTCTATTACCTTGCCCGGATTTGGGTGGTACTTTTTTTTTTTTTTCAGTCCTGTGAATTTAATGCTACTCTTGGACACTGTTGTTGTGACAGAAATTATGAGTCAGGATCAAAACTCAAGACAGTAACCAATTGTTGAGGCATTGCCACAGCCTTGGGCCACAGTGCCACGCAAGGTCTGAGTTTCCCCAACGCAACGTGGCTGTCACAAAGGGGGCGCTTACGTTGGCAGCCCAGCCGGACCCCGTGGTGGTGGAAGTGGCACACGCTGGTGGAAAGAGCCCTGGGCGATGAGTTGGGAGGTGTGGCTGGAGTTCAGTTATTCTGCCATGAATAACGTGACTTTGGGCAAGTCAAGCATTTTCTCCATTAACAGAAACAATGTTGCCCTCTCTTCTCAGGACTGTGATTGAGACAAAAAGAGATAGTAAGTCAGAGTGGCTTGGAACAGTGAAAAAGATGGCAGATAACAGTAAAATAGTCTTTATCTATTCATTCAACAAACGTATGCGCACCAGGCACAGGTTATCCCTGTTCAGTGCACTGTGGTGATACATGAGCTGGACCTCGTGGATTCTCTGGGCAGTGGAGAGATGAAGCAACGAGCACGTCCTTACTGTGTGGTGTGGTTGGGTGTTAGAGCTGTTAGAGAATAGAGGTGGATGTAGCTAACTCTGCCGGGGCAGTTGTTGAATTCATCACAGAGATGGTGGGGTTTGATCTGGCTCTGGGTGAATAAGAAATCTGCCCAACTGAAAGGAGATGGAAGGGCATTCTGGGCAGAAGAACCGGCAGGTTCAAAGGCAGAGAGGTGTCAACGGTCATCACACCATCATCAAATCAAAATTAACCCACAGATAGTCGCTGAGTACCTGCTTTCCTCTAGACACTACTAGGAGCTGGGGAAACAATAACAAATATAATGGTCTTAGTTCCTACCTACTTTTGGATGGATTTGTTCATTGTACTAGTTTCCGATCGCTGCTATGACAAGTTACCATGTACTTGGTGACTCAAAACAGCACAAATAGGGGAAAATGGGTGAGAAGGGATAAATTTGGGAGGTTGAAATTTGCAAAGGTTAACCACTATATATAAAAATAGATTAAAAAACATGTAATAACCTTTAATGAAAAAAATATGAAAACGAATATATGTATGTGGATGCATGACTGGGACGTTGTGCTGTACACCAGAAATTGATACATTGTAACTGACTATACTTCAGTTAAAAATACAAAACAAAACAAAACAGCACAAATGTATGATTACCTTACAGTTCTGGAGGTCAGAAATCCTTAACTCCAGGAGTTAGCAGGGCTGTGTTCTTTCCGAAGGTCCTAGGGGAGAATCTTTTTTTCTTGCCTTTTCCAATGTCTACCGGCTGCCTACATTCCTTGGCCCATGGCCCTTCCTTCATCTTCAAAGGTAGCAGTGTAGTGTCTTCAGCCTCTCTCTGATTCTGACCCTTCTGCCTTCTTCTTGCAAAGACCCTTGGGATTACCTTGGGTCCACCTGGATAACCTAGGACACTTTCCCTATCACAGTATCCTTAATTTAATAACGTCTGGAAAACCCCTTTTGCCCCATAGTGCCAAATAGGCACAGGTGCAGAGACTAGGCTGGGGATATCTTTCAGGGGACCAGTACTCATCTTCCCATATTCATTCAGCAAGTCTTTAGTTTCCCACTACTTGTTACTAGAATAAGGTGCATGAGCTTCGTGCTCTCATGGATTTATGTACAAGTGTTTTGGATGATGTAGCAACTATATTCACTTGTGTCCCAGGCACTACATAGGTTTAAAAAAGAGATGAATCAAACCCACATCCCAAGCTGGTCTCCTGCTCTTATCCCCACCCCAGAATTGCTTTGTCTCCATTGATCCTTCTAGTTTCTGAAACCAAATTCTTGAAGCTACAAGTGGATCCTTTCTTTCTTCTAAATGCTATGTCTAATCTGTCAGGAAATCCTGTTTGTTCTACCTTCTAAATATATCCAGCATCCAGCTGCTGCTCACCACCACCACCCAGGATCAAGCCACCGTCTGGATTACTATAAGAGCCTCCTCCTGTTCTGTCTCCATCCTTGCCTGCTACATTCTGTTCTCAACAGAGCAAACATAAGGATCCTCTTAAATAAAAGTCAGGCTGTGTCATCTCTAAGTAAAAGCAAGATTCTCCAGGTGTTATTTCTGACTTAGGCTTTTGCGCTGGCTCTGTCCTAGACCCCAGACCTTCTGTCCCTGGGTTTACACCTCCATCCTCTCTTCTGTATCATGTCTTTGTTCAAATCTCCTCTATTAATGAGTTTAACCTGCTTACCCTATTTCAACTGCAACTTCCTACCCCTTACTTACTTTTTAAATTTTTAAAAAACATTTATTGGAATACAGTTGATTTATAATGTTGTGTTTGTTTCTGGTGTACAGCACAGTGATTCAGTTATACATGTATGTATGTATATATGCATTCTTTTCCACTTTAGGTTATTACAAGATATTGAATATAATTCACTGTGCTGTATGGTAGGACTTGTTGTTTATCTACTTTATATATAATAGTTTGTATCTGCTAATCCCAAACTCCTAATTTATCCCTCCCACCCCCTTTCCGCTTTGGTAACCATAAATTTCTGTTCTATGTCTGTGAATCTGTTTCTATTTTGTAAATAAGTTCATTTGTGTCAATTTTTAAGATTCCACATATGAGTTATTTGTCTTGCTCTTTCTGACTTACTTGGTATGATCATCGCTAAGTCCATCCATGTTGCTGCAATTGGCATTGTTTTATTCTTTTTTATGGCTGAGTAGTATTCCATTGAAAAAATATACCACAACTTCTTTATCCATTCATCTGTTGATGGACATTTATGTTGCTTCCACGTTTTGACTTTTGTAAATAGTGCTGCTGTGAACATTGGCCTGTCTTCTAGTTCTGGTTCCCCTTAAGTTGCTTTAGTTTAGTTTTTTTTTTTTGTCTTTGTTTTCCATGTTACTCACCATCTTTTAGGGACTACATAATTTGCTTATTTTATCTGTTTTCCCCCAATAGAAATGTAAGCGTCACAAGACCAGAGGTTTTTCATCCCAAGCACATAGTGTACAGTACACGTGAGGTTCCCAGTAAATATCTGTTGAATGAACAGATGAGGGAATCACTGAATGTGCCATGGAGGAACCTGTCTATGTGAGGAAACATGCTGGGCACCATCTTGGGTTGTGTGCAATTTAAGTATTTTGTTCTCTCATCTTTAGTTGGGGGAATCATGCAAAGTCTGTAATGAGGGGAAGTAAAGATAAACAGGTCTTTCTTCTGTGTGGGGAACATGTGTTTGTGAAATAAACATCAGGTTAAAGAGGAGCCTCCTTCACATCGACTCCCTGGTCTTGTTTTGTGATTCAAAATCTAAAAAATTCAATTTTAATTGAGTACCTGTGGTGTAATGACTGTTTCACTCTGCCCTCTGAACAAGACAAAGCTTGCTTGGCACCAGCAAGTTCTCTCTTTACAGCCTGGTTGCTTGAAAATTCTTAGAACCCCTTTTCAAAAAAAAAGTGAGAGAAAAATAAAATTTTAGGTCAAAATGGCATGTTAAAATTCTAATTTTCCTTCTTAGTCTTTGCCAAGAATGATTGTACAAGGGGAAAAATAGAATGGCATGTATTCTGCCAGTCTGTCAAGAAATGCTTGCTCCTCTCTTCCACCAACCAAAAAGGACCTGAATAGCAGGTGTACATGGAGTGAGATGGGTGAGAAAGAAAGAGGATGAAGAATTTCAAAGTCTGAAAGGAAAGGAGTTCTGTACTGTTTCAAACATGTGTTTTGAGGACCACATAAAATCATTTACATTGATAACAGGGACAATTTCTGTGAAAGAGATGGTTGCTGGTGTATATGGCGGATTTACTCACGGGATGGGGCTGGGGGAGGGACCCCTGTCTGTTGAGCCTAACATACTGCATCTGGATCTTGCCACTCGGTTCTATTTCCCCTTCCTTTTCTCTTCCCCTCCCTCCTCCTCTGTGTCTTCCTTTGGTCCAAGGATCTCAGCATCTTTTGATTTGCAGCCTTTGTGACATTTGTGGGTGAGAATGTGTAGCCTTTTCACAAGCCAAAAGGTCACAGGTGCAAAGCCCTGGTTCTCTACCCCATTAGGATAGCAGGTCAGTCCACATGCTCTTTCTCTTTATTAGACACATTAGGACATGTGTCATGGAGAAGAGAAAGAGGTCAAAAGCACGAGTAAATATATATATATATATATATACTTCCATTAATATATTTAGACAGAACTGATACTGGCTATTTGATCAAGTAATTTTAAGAGTCCAGCTGTATTAGCCAAAAATGTATTTAAAGGCTGCGTTTCCTTTACTGAATTGTGTATAGAAAAAGTGGAATGGTTTTTTGTATATATGATACCTTGGAGCTGTTACTAATGTTGGCAAGATGCCTATAGATTTTATATGCTTTCTTTCTATATCTATGAAGTTTTTGAATGTTTTCCTTTCGGCTTTATCTTGTCCTTTCTCTGGTCATAGCCATCCATCACAAAGCCCCTTTGTCATTAAGGACCCATGACCCCTTTTTACTAGTGGTACTTAGGAAGGTCAGGGACCTTAACTCAGGGGTGAAGGAGACATATCAGTTTCCTAATTTGCAGGTTGTGAGACCACAGGGGAATCTTAAAATTTGACTCGATGATGAATCACTCCAGTAAAATGAGATATGGCAGTAAAATAGTTAAAAACAGTAAGTCTAGAGCAAGATCAGATTAATGACGTTTCACAGGCTTTTTCAGGCTTGGTGTTTATTTTTAAAAATAATCATTTTTGTTGCCAGCTAATGACTTCTTTCCGGGCAAAGAATCGACAAGCTCTGTGTACGAGTTGTCATCTCTTGCTGCTGAGCAAAGGATCCCACGGTTCTGATCTCTTTTTTGGAGACACCTATATATGCAGAAAATATGGAGGCATTCAGGTATTTTGAGTGAGGAGGGCATGGTAATAATTAATTTCTCTCTTTCTCTCAAAGGTGAAAATTGGTGCTATTTATAATGAGAAATTATCATAAAATTTCTCCCCAGTGGGGAGGGTAGAGCTCAGTGGTATAGCATATGCTTAGCATGCACGAGGTCCTGGGTTCAATCCCCAGGACCTCCATTAAATAATAAATAAATAAATCTAATTACCTCCCCTCCCCAAATAAAATAAAATAAAATAAATAATTAATTAAAAACCAGTTTCTCCCCAGCCAGTGAAATTGTACTGAAGAACAAAGTCAATCTGGGCCTCCAGAAGCTTGATTCAGAATTGAGATCTTGGGCCAAACAGGAAAGGCCACGCCTGTTTACTGAATGCCTGTTACAGGCCACCATGTGCATCTGTCAAGTAACCTAGTCTGCAGTTTTCTTTCTTATGTATCTGCTCCTCATGGGCTCCACTTGGTCACGTGTGATCCTCATAACAGCAGTGTTATATTACCCCAGTTTTACAGATGAGCGTGTTCAAGCCATGGACTTGCCAAGGCCAGACAGCGGCGAGTAGCAGAACAAGCCCCAAACCCGGTCTCCTGGCTTCTGGTCCTGTGCCTTTCCCAGTATCTGATGCTGCATTTCTTTTCCTGTCGCTTGCAATCTGCCCCTCAGGAGAGCGGGCCATCCCAGTAGCTCTCTAGGTGTGGCTGCAGGACCAGAACCATCGTGTCATCTGCAGACTTGTGAGACCTGCAGAATCTCCCACCCCAGGTTTACCCGCTCAGAAACTTTGGGGGTGGGGCCTGGCCATCCGCACCCCACAAGCTCTCAGCTGATTCTGAGGCATGAGACGCACTCAGGTTTGAGAGCCACGGACCTCAACCATCTATTCTTTGTCAGTAAGAAGATGGGCGAGGCAGTTATTCTGTTATTTACCTGTGAGAGCTGCCTCGTGGGGGGCACGGGGAGTGTTTGCCTTCTAGGAACTCGTCTAGTTGAGGAGAGAGGACCGGGGGTGAGCACCCCCTGGAACATCTGCAGGGCCTGAATTGTTCACTAATGAAGTGCGGAGGTGGTGGGCTGGGGCGGAAGCTGCTGTAGGTTTTCAGGGAAGGGAGTAGTCCCTGCAGGTGCCAATGGGTGGAGAAGGCTTCCTGGAAGGAAAAGACATGTAGGTGGGCCTCGAAGTGCCCTGGGATTTGGAGTGAGGATGCTAAAGAGTGCAAATTCCAGAAGAAAGGCAAGTGCGGGAACCAGTAAGGCATGTCTGCTTGAGTGGAGTGGGGCTTTTGTGCTAGAATGGGTGAGCAGGATGGAGAGAGGGGGCCAAATGGTGATGAATGCCAGTCGAAAGTACATATCATAGTGGATGACGGGGAACAAGAAGAGATGTTGATTAAATAGCTGAGGTGATAGAAGTGTACTTTAAGGAATGTTCAACTGCCACGTGTAAGCCAGGTCCAAATGTAATTTGAACATCCCACAGGGTTTTGCACGTTGTTTTCCACCCCCAATATACATATTTGTGTGTTTTGAAGTAAGGTCTAGTTTTATAGATGTTTTTAAAATGACAAATAATACAACAGTATCTACTTTGGGTTATGACAATAATTATCTGCTTTGGTTGTTTTATGGAGTAAACTTTGGGGCCTTTTAGTTCGACGAAATGACAGGTGGTCTTAATCTGCTGATCGAGAAGTCAGGGCCTCCTTTGATTAGCACGTAGCTGGTCGCGCCCCCTTCCTGGACTTTCTGGTTTTGTAGGTGGAGGGCTTCAGCCCTACCCTGAATGAGGCTCTCTTCTGAGAAAGAAAAATGGTACTGACTTCATCTGGTCAGAGAGAAGTGGCCTTCCCATAAGGGCACCACGCCCTGGAAATCTTGATCAATTGTAAGGGCATTTGTTCAAATATTTCATACAACTAAAATTAAAAGGAGAAAGTATCAAGTACTCACTCTGTTTAAGCCTTGTGCAGGGCATAGCAGTGACTGAAGTGTGTTTCTTTGCCCACAGGTGGCATCTGGAGTCTTGGGGGAGACAGGTGCACAGATATAAGAGAATATAAAACGGGAAAGGGTTATGTAGCTTCAGCCCATGAGGGAACATAGAACTAGAAATGTCAGCACATTCTGCCTCATGTCTAGTTCTGATGACAGAGATGTACGTGTCTTTTTAGCCTGACAGACACCATCAGCCCTGATTTTCAGACATGCTTAGAATCATCTGCCATATCTCCTTGATGATTTGAATTCACTCTTTAAAATGATGCATTAGTGTCATCCTTGTGCGGCAGACAACTTAACATTTTCATCATAAGTAAAGAAGTTTATATGTGTACAGATACATGCATGACTGGTACATTAAGCTGTACACCAGGAATTGACACATTGTAACTGACTATACTTCAATTAAAAAAAAGAAAAGAAGTTTAAGTCACCTGATCTAGGTTGTAAAGAAAACTAGGGGCAGGAATGCCATGGGGAGAACTCAGAGCTTTGCTTTCTTCAGTCCTGCAGGGATGTAGAGGCATTCCTTAGTAATCACATTTCTCCCTGAGACCTGGTCTGCTCTCCACGCATTTCTGCCCCTGTGCCTGGACAAATACGAAGTCAGTAGTTTATTTAACTTGTGGTAACGACACACGATTTGCCTATCAGTGGTAGGGTCCGTGGAGCCAGACAGGCTGATGTGACAATTTTTCATATTCAGGTGGCTACTGTTTTCGATTTTATTCTATAACCTCGAATTTTGATCTGATTATTAGGGGAAAGATGTATGCTTTAAATATATCTAAGAACTAATAAAAATCTGGGGCAATGACTTGAGGCAGCAAAGTTGTTCTGATATGTTTACATACCTTGACAGACACGCTTAATAGATTGTGAATGTGGCAAATGCACTATAAGTTTGAATCCAAAAGCCTCCACCACAAAGAAAACACGCTGATTTAAAACAGTGTCCATGTGTCACCTCTTCCGGGGCTGGAGTCCCACTCTGCAGAGTCGTAGGAGAGGATTTTGGAATTTAGAGTCATATAGGGGTCTCTATCCCCATATATACAGAGAGAAACTGATCAGAAGTGAATTTGGAAAGATACATGAAATAAACATTGGGAAGATAAAACTTTATATTTTAAGGATTCATGTCTCTAGGTTATTTTCTACCATGAAAATCACATTTCCTTACAATCTTGCTAATATTCTAGCATCATGGTTCTTACCCTTTTGGGTCCTGATCATTTTTAGAACTTAGTGAAAGCTGTGACTCCTCACCACAGAAAATTTCTTCTGCGCCCATGATTACAAAAAAATTTCCATGAAATTTAGGAGGGGTTCATGGACTTTGTCAAACCCTAATGCCTTAAGGCATTCATTGAATAATGAATTATCATCTCCGCACTAGCTAGGTACCATCCTTGAGAAAACTGAGAAAATAATCATGCAGATCGTTTGCGAGAGCGCTTAATGCTCTCAGAATTAGGTGGAACCCTGACTGAGGAAGGCTGTGGGTGGAACAAGACAAGAATCCTGATACAGTAAATACGCTGAATTTGTAGTCATCCTGCTGCTCAAAAATAATACACAAGCTTGAGGTTGAATAATTACATGTGTCAAAGAAGGATCGATTTCCAGTATGTCCTTTTCCCCCTGCTATTTTTCGTGTTAGAATAAACCCTGTTCAGTTTCACTGTAATAACTATTTACTTTGGCACCTCTGAGAACCACTGCACGCTTGCTATAGCTAACACTGCCCTACATTCAGGTTTTAAAAATCCGGAATAATAGTGTCAACCCTACCACAAAAGCTGAGACGTTTGACAATGACGTGTTTCATCGCACCATGTAAGGGGCCCCGTTCCGCTGCCACACAACTTTGTTTTCCTGCCTGACGGGCTACACATCCCTTTATTCAAGTGATTTGTAGACACACTGTAACTGTCAGTTAGAGATGCCGGCTGTGTATCAGGCTGACTCCGCTCTCCCCAGGGCTTCCAGGAACCACAGCACAGGCAGTTTTCCCAATACCTCATCTTTCTCGGTAGACACACTGGCTACCGTCTTGATATTTCACAGAGAAGCCCATGTGGGGCTGAAGTGGCAGTTTCTAGCTCATTCCATCCTCCCTGGCTCTCTCTGACGTCCCAACACTGGTGGGACTCATGTTATGCCTTTACCTGGTCAGTCAGCACTGGGCTAAATTGGGGTCCCGAGATCTGTGACTGTGCAGTGGTGATGCTTCTCGTCTTTCTCAAGAGTGCACGAATCCAAGGTTGATGGGTTTACAGAAGCCCAGGAATGGTAATCCGAGCAACTGCCCTGGGGCACATTCAGGGTATGGAAGAGGGAGAAGCATGTGGAGAAAAAGTGGTGACAGCAGTAAATTAGAGGTAAGAGTTGTCACGTTTAGTAGGAGAAAACTGGAAGGAAGGTCACCTTCCACAAAGGGGATCGCTGCGCTGTGATGTCAGCGTGTGTCAACTATTTGGCTTCCCTGTAGTATTTGTTTATGTTTATTCTCGGGTATTTCCCACCCTTGCCTGGTTAGAGAAGGGCGCTCTGGCCGTCCCGTGCCCGTAGCCCCTGAGTGTATTAGTGACGTCCTTGGTGATGCCCCTGAGTGAGAGGGAACACTTAAATTCTGTTAAGGAGGGCGTGAAGCGTGGCATGTTTTAGCAAGATTTCCACCAAAAATGAGATTCAGAGCTTACAGTGATGAAAGTGTTATGGGGAATGTTGACCCAGGCAGTGGCTAAGGTACCCCTAGCTTTTGCTTGGAGCCTCATCGGCCAAAATATGCGTGTCGCACTCTACCGTTCCCTTTTAAAGCAAGCTCAAAGCAGCTGGCCACTTTTGAAATTCCATTTTATCTTGGTCCCGTCATTTGCTCATACTGTTCTCATCTTTATGTCTTTATATCCTTCTTTCCTGTCTGACTCTGGTGATTCCCCCCATTTTGTTAGGCGATCCCTGCCGAGGGCTGTGTTCTTCCCTCGGCCTCCATCCCTATCCGCTCCACCTTGATTTTTTTTTTCTCTCATTTTCTCTTCCTCCTTACCTTTCTCCTGTCTTAGGCTGTCGTTTACTTCGCTGTCTGACTCACTCTCAATGTTTGCCTCCCCTCCGCTACCTCTGCCCTGTGTATTACGTGTATAGGTAACGATTTCATACGGACAGAAAGATAAGGAGTGAGACAGTGAGCATTGGCGTCCTCTGCCCAGCTTAAGAAGCTGACCATCACCAGCTTAGCTGAATTCCTATTGCCAACTCTACCCCCTACCCCGCCACTTCTGCCCAGAGGTAACTCCTGTCTTATGTTCTATTTCACATCTTATTCTGATTGCCTGGGCAGGAGGAAGGATGCTGTCTCCGGCACTCAGCCTCTTCAGCGGCATCTTCTCTTGGATGCTGGGGCCTAAGCCTGGGGGTGGGGCACAAGGGGGCTGAACTGAGAGGACCACCCAGGGTGGGGGCAGGGGCGGGGCAGGCGGAGTGGGAGCTCTTTCCCCCAGGAGCCTGGCTGAATTGCCCCCAACCTGAGAGTCATGTTTTTCCCCTTTGAGCTCTCGTGACCTCTTTGACATATTTGAATAAGGAAATGTTACGTGTCCAAGGAACGTTCAGAAAGCATCTTCTAAATGATGGCCTTGTGTTTTATGGGACCTTATTTATGGGGCTGTAGGTGCCCTTCCACCCTCATCTCCCTGTTGCCCTTTTGTTTTGGGTAGAGAAACCCCATTGTACTTTAAAATGTATTTTTATGTCAAGGATTATCTGGGTCTTTTCAGTATATCTGTGTCGAGCTGAGTAATGTGTATTATACACTCTGCTTCTCAGGATGTTCGAAATAGTTCACAGACACAGAAGAGCTTGGGCCAGCGGCATACAGACTTGGGCTAGACCCCACCTCAGCCACCTGCTGGTCCAGCGACCTTCAGCAAATGACCTAGATTCTCTCCGCCTGTGTTGGTTTGTTTGGTTGGTTTTCAATATGTAAAAATGGGGATCCTGATGGTTCTGCCATTATGAAATGAGATAAGGCATGTAAAGTGTTCCTGGCGGCACCTGGCACGTAGCGCTAAATAAACGTTACCTACAGTAACAGGATTTTGAGCTTAGAACAGTCAGTTGAGATATGATTTATTGGAAGCACTGCTTTTGGGATGGAAGGCACTGTTTGATGGTGGTTGTTGAGATGGCAGCTCCGAAAAGAGAGGCATTGGAGAAGGAAGAAGTGTTCTCTGAGCCCGCAGGCAATGAACAAACATCCTTCCGACCTAAAACCTCATGAAGTGGCCCTGGGTGGGGCGACATCTATGAAATGTTGTGTTGCTGCGGAGGAGGTTGGAAGCCCTGCTCCCAGCAGACCTGTGCCTGCCCCGGGTCCACTGCGGGTGATGGAGCAGCGTGTCATAACACGCCTCCTGTTTTCTTTGAAGGGGCTGCTGCTCTTTTGTCAGAACTTTTGCCTCCTGTTGGACGGAACGGGGTTCAATGTCGTTCATCTCTGCAGGGCAAGTCAGAAGGTCTGTAAACGCTGAAGATGCTAGCAATAGCTAACCCACGGAGTTCTCAGAATAAGCTGTGCCGGTTGCTCAGAAAGTAAGGTGATTAAAGAGCAAAACGATTTACTCTGTCAGTGGTTACTGCCCGCTTGATTTTCTTTGAGTTGTGAATTGATTAGCTTCAGTTCCCAATCTGGAAGACAGAGGGAATGATTCTTAAGTCTTTTATTTAAAAAAAAAGAATTGGAGTCATATTCTATGTTAATTTTGTGTCCTGCTTTTTTTTCATTAAGTACTTTTATAACTAAAATGACAATAAAAGTGATAATGCTGACACCTGCTTCATGGAAATGATTTTCCTTGAACAAAGTTCAGAAAACTTCATGTTTATAGATTTTAATTTTATTTCTGTTTAAGAGAGACAGTTTTTTTCTAATAGATTCCATATATATGTTCTTTCTTTCCATACTGATTATGTAGTATCTGCGAAGGATTTAGCATTCACTGGGCAGATAATGGTAGTTTTTTTTTAACGTATTTCCTTGCTTCTCAATGCTGTTACAGTGATAGAAACAGTCTCACCAGGAAGTACTGACATGTTTCGTTGCTCATTGACAAATGCTTGCTTGCAACTTTGAAAATTCTATCACAAAGTTTAATAATATTTGTTTTCAGACCTTTAAAAATTAACGTTTGTGTATTAGAAATAAAATTGCAGTGATCTATGGTATGGAAAGCTTACAGACATTTGAATATGTGATTATGAAACACAAACCTTAATTAATGGCATATGGTATTGTAGGTAGTACCTTAGTAGGAGGCATCAAAGATGAAATTTTGTAAATTAAACCAGAGCACCTGGTATCTCGTTCATCCTAATTCCTCTCATTCTGTTTTCACCCTCTTC